TTGCTTCTGTCTTCAAGAGTGTAATAAAGTGTTTTTGAAAACTTGTTTGTAAAGGAGTGTAAGTGTGAAAAAGTTTGTTTGGATTGAACAAGTACTTAAGAACTAATCTACCTACTCGAAAAAAGAATCGTTCTGTATTCTTTTCCTTTAGACAGTGTTATCCCACTATCAGTGAGTAGGTAGCACCGTCGTTGGAGTTTGAGGGTCAATTCGAAAAGGGACGTACAGTCACTAAAGCAATGTTAGGACGCCTTAGTAATAACCCTAATGTCTTAGATCAATTATCTGAGGCAACAATATTCGAGGCAACCTTTCCGAGGCAACTATGATCTTTAGACAAAAGGACGACCACTAAAGCATCCTATACTCAATGACCGTTTATCGAAGGCAACCAAGTGGGAGTGTATCCTAGGAGTGCGCATGTGCGAATGATTCAATTTCAGATTATTTATCTTTGCACATGTTAGGGTTATCTAATTGTTTTAAAGTTTTTCACATACATTCTTTTCATGCATCCTAATATCATACATCTAACAGTTTAATATTTGCGGAATTTAATGTGCAAAAATTAAACTACGCTATTACAAGGCTTCGGGTATTTACATAGCCAAAAACAAACCCTTTGAAAATAAAGCGATAAATGGAAATAAACGTCCTAATTAAACTATTATAAACTGTAAGCAGTTACATCAATATGATAAATAATAAAAATAAAGCGCGCAAGAAAAATTAGGGTTTTGACTCTTCTATCCTAATGAAAAGAAAAATTGTTTTGTTGTTTGTAATATTTTTTAAAGAAAAGAACTTAGGTTTTAAAAAAATAAATGTACAAATTAATTAGTGATTAAATTAATTAATAAAAATAATTACATAGCCTATTTTTGGTTTTTTGTTATCTTTAGGAAAAAAATAAAATAATTAAATTAGAAATAAAAACCTAATTATTCTAATTAGTTTTAATTATTTGCAAAAATAATTAAAGTTATCTAAATTAACAAAGCTAATTTAATTAATTAATTTTTTTAATAAAAATAAAATCTAGACCTAATTTATGAAAAGTAATATTTTTGTGATTTTTGATAAAAAAAGAAAATAATTTAATTGGTTAGTAAAATAGATAAATAAATTAAATGAAATAAATATAAAAGAATTAAAGAAAAGAAAATTGGGCCTGCAATATGGGGGTGTGAGAAGCAGAATTCTGGGCCCAAAGATGGAAGTCAATGTTGACTTCCTGGATCCAGTGTGATTGCTTTAACTGAGGCACACCATGGTCATCACATCAAAGCCATCAGATCTGTCTTCTTGGATTTCTGAATGATTGGATCTTGAGGGAGCATGGTGCTCCTTGGCTTGGGTATACGCTGAATTTCCTGAAAGGAATTAAGAAAAATAACAAACGTTGGAGGTAGGGGTCGAACCCCTGACCTCAAGCTTTCCACTGCCTTAATATTTTTCTGGTTACCACTGGGCCAATTGTTCTTGTTGTCATAATAATGCAAAATAATAAACAAATATTAAAAAGCCCCTATGTATTAAATCCACGCGCGAAAATTTGAACAAGCCAATGATCGTTCGCCAGCTGGTCGTCTCCTTCCTCAGATCCGTTGGTAAAAAGTTCCAAACTTTTACCCACGGACACTTGGTCGTAGCTACAGCCTGCGTTCTCTTAAAATCCACCATGAGCAAGATAAATGATTTCTAATTCCATGGTTGGATTCGTCTTGTCCTCTTGGACGTGATGGTACCATTCATGAAGGCTAATTTTACCTGTAAACAAAAACCCTAATTCTAAGCTACAAACCCTAACAATGGTGAAATCCAATATAGGCCATATAAATGCAATTAAACAATACAGAAAGCTTGCATATGTCTTAAGGATCAAGAATATACCATTAGTTCATGCTATCAATGCCTAAATCATGGAATTCGAATTCAAGAAATGTTAGGTATCGTGACTGACTTACAGTGAGATATAGGGCTTGAAAATGCTTGGTTTCGATTGCTTTCGCTTGCTGGGAATCTAAGGAAGTGATTGAGATAGCTAGGATGCCTTGAGGATGCCAGGAAACATGAATTCGTGTTTGCACTTTCTTGGTTTTTTTTCAAATTCTGTTCTCCTTGCTGCGCCTTCTTTTAACCTAGTTTTTGGTCTGCCTTCGTTCTATATGTATCAAGGAATGGATTAAGGTTGATAAGTGATCTCAATCTTCCTCCATCAATGAATTGGATCTTGATTTGATACACCTTAAAAATATTTCAAAAAATGGTCTAATTCAATCTTTTTGTACACAATAATGCCTTGCACGAGTTTGATTTGATGCTAGCTGTAATTAAAACCTGAAACAAGCACAAAATCTTTTGTTTTCAATATTTTGGATTTTATATGATTTATTTTGATTAAAATTGATTTAAATCAAATCAAAATCAAAATCAATAATAAAAACATGATAATGACAAGTGGCAAGGGCTAGAGCTCGTGGACTATGTTGCCAACTCAAAACAAGTGAAAAAGATTGGGCCAATTTGGCAAAATTTGATGTTTAGGGCATAGTTGACTTTTGGCAATTTTGCAAACAAATGTCAACTTCACCAATGCACAACGTCCTCAATTTTGACTCTTTGGAGGTGTTCTTTGACTTTTTAGAAATCTTGAGATGTCCTCTAATCAACCATTTTGGTCTCATCTAAATTTGATATTCCATGCTCATGTATGAAGCTTTGACAAAAAAGGTGTTTTTGTTGACTTTCCAAAATGACCTATAATGTCCAAATTCATAACTTCTTGTGAGTGCATATTTTGAACTTGAGAGATAAAGATGGATTGTAGATCATGGCATGCTTTTCAAAATGAGCTTTGGATGGGTCATGTGATACGGTGGGAGAACGGACTTGAGGTTTCGCGTTTATTTTTGCACTTGTTCGGTTTAGCAAGAGTCGCCACCGACTTTTTATTTTATCCTAAGGAAAAGTCAAAAAAGCACAGGAAATACCTTTGAGATGTTTTCTTGGATTCGGGGGGTAGATTATGAAAAGGGAAGGTGCTAGCACCCTTTTCATCCATGGTTTTCCATGGGCTCTTAGTTACTTGTTTTTAGATCACTTGCCTTTGCTTTTCAACTGTTTGAAATGGTGCTTTGTGTGTGTGGTTTTTGAAAATGCTTTAAAAAAGAGGCCTTGTCTAGGCAACCTTTGTAATTATTCTTGTTTGAATATATACAAAGGTTTGTGTCTTTTTGAAAAGATATTTCAATGTTTTGAAAGTTGTTTTTGAAATTGTTTTTAAGTTGTGTTGTGAAGTATGTTTGAAAAATGGAAAGGATATTTTGCAAGCTTTTGATCAAGTAACTAAGAGTTGTCTACCCTATTTTACTCAAAGATCTTTATTATGTTTTTAACCCTTTTAACAGTGTTGTTTCACCATTTGTATTTGATGAACAACCTTGTGTTAGGATGTCTTAACGGGACAGGCGCGGGTCATCGTATACAATCATTGAAAGCAACTTGTGAGACGCTCTAGCAATTTTGTAAGGGACGAGATCGTTTTATCGAAGGCAACATCGAGGGTCATCGAGGGACTATGATCTTTGTTTATCGAAGGGGCATTTTCTAGAGTGTCTCATATTTGAGGGACATGATTACATTTTTCGAGGTAACAAGCGAGGTTACTCTAGAGGTGCAAGTGTGCATTGTGTTTGTCATTTTCATGCATTTTGTCTTGTATTAGGTCATCTAGCGGTTGATTTTAGACTTTCACATACGAACCCTAATCTCTAATCATGCCATAATTTAAAAGCATAAAGTGCGAGAATTAAATTCTAAGCTATTACAAAAGAGTATCCGGGGATGGGGGTACAATTATTTACAAATGGGGATGAGTCTCTCAAGAATAATAATGTCCCAAATATTATGGGTTACAACCAAATTGAATCGACGCAATTCTAGTATTAACAAATTATAACAAAACATAAAGAGAATCAAAAGTATTATGAGATGCATGTGTTTATTTACAAATAAAACAAATAAAATTTAACCTAAGAAAGATTTAAGTATGATTATTATTTTGTTTTATTAATTATGAAAAGAAAAGTTTTAAAGAAAGAAAATTTATTTTGAACTAAATCCCTATTATTTATGTATTTTTATTAATCAATAACTAGGTTTAAAGAAAGCCACAAATTATTTAAACTAAATATTCTTTTTTGTATTTTTTATTATAAATAAGATTAATAATAACTTAAAAAGAAAGTAAAACCAAATTAAATTAGTATTTGTGTTAATTAAAAGAAAGAAAGTAAAATAAAAAGTTATTAGTTTTGAAGAGAAGAAAAAAAAATGTGCTTTAGGCAATTTGTGGCCCATAATATGAAAAATGAAGAAGAACAAAATAGCAAGATAAAGGGGGTGTGTGCTAGCGAAACGCTGGGCCTAAGGCAGTCTGGGAGCGGGTCAGGCCCAAGTGGTGAATTTGAACAATGTTTTGTTAGGGTTAAAAGTTGTGTCTTCATTAGGGTTTATTGTTTTGGTTTTACAACGGCGCCTCCTTCTCTCACTCTCTTCTGCCTCTTCCTTTCTTTCTCAGGCCATGGTTCTGACTTGAAGTTCCTTCTACGCCCTAGCCACCAGAGCGTCGCCTCCCACCCCTTATCTCTTCACCGTGATCCAGAGTTTTAGAGAAACGGTTTGATTCGTTATCTTTTTAGGTCTCGAGAAGTAAAATATTCGAGAGTCCAAGCTTAATATACATGCATAGATAGTGGTCTAATGACAAGGGCCGACGATGGAAGCTCGGGACGGAGCCGTATGATGCGGAAGTCTCACGTACGGTTCCCTGAGAAGGGATTGGCTACCTACTGGAGCTTCGACCAACCACCACTGGTAAATTCCGCTTTGGGGCCACCCCTTACTCTACCATTATTATAGGGGTATGGGGTTCGAGACAAAGAAAGATCAAGGCAGCATATCAGTTTTTCCTTTATACTTTACTTGGATCTGTTTTTATGCTATTCGCTATTCTGTTGATTCTTTTCCAAACAGGGACCGTCGATTTACAAATATCATTAACCACAGAATTTAGTGAGCGGCGCCAAATCTTTCTATGGATTGCTTCTTTCGCCGCTTTCGCCGTCAAAGTGCCTATGGTACCAGTTCATATTTGGTTACCCGAAGCTCATGTAGAGGCACCTACGGCAGGATCCGTCATCTTGGCAGGAATTCCTTCAAAATTGGGAGCCCACGGGTTTTTAAGATTTTCAATACCCATGTTTCCCGAAGCAACACTTTGTTCCACTCCTTTCATTTATACTCCAAGCGCGATTGCTATAATATATACTTCCTTGACCACTTCAAGAAAGATCGATCTTAAAAAGATCATTGCTTACTCCTCAGTAGCCCATATGAATCTGGTGACTATTGGTATGTTTAATCGGGCGGCGGCCGTTAGGTCACCTATTTTTAGTTATGGACACAAAAGACAAGGCCAAAACATGTGTGTCGGGCGTGCGACCCATCAACCTACTAGCAATGGGGGAGAAAACATAGCATGTCGCAACAAAAGCTTGATTCAAGGCGTCAGCAAAACATTTCCGTTTGTTCCAAAAACAAAATCCCCTTAGCGCCCCAGGACGGGAGTGGGGGACACCCTACGCGCAGGCAACAGCAGCACCGACTCTACGAAGTCAGAATCTAATCTTTGTGTTGGCTTTCCAAATTCATTCGTGAATAAGAATTCAAGGGCTAGAAGCGACCGCTTCAAGCTGCTTCGCCTGCTTCTTCTTATTTATTGTGGCTATGTTGGCGTGGCGGAAATGAACAAAAAGCGAGATGAACGTGCTATTTAAAAATCGATTGATAGATAGCCTTATCCGCTCTGATAGATCGAAAGAGTAGGAATGAGATAGAGGGAATCCATCAATAATAAGGGGAAATCCCCTATTTCTATCTATTGATAAGACAACTATTCTTGATCTATCATAAATAAATCAATATGTATCTGATGGAGTCTACATCATACGTAGAGCGCCCAAGCGCCAGCTCGGTTCTGTTATCCATCGGTCCAATGCACTGTCATGGATGGAGGGAAAAGCAAAAATCTAGTTGTGTTGTTCGCCGCCTCGACACATTCCCTTCTCTCCCCGGTATCGTCCCACATAGAAAGAAAGAGCACAGAGCCCCGTCCTGACCTGTAGTGTAGGTCCACTAACGTAAAGCGAGGAGTTGAGCCTGAACTGGTGAACCGAAGTCACTTTCGGAACCATACTTCCTACAGCTAACACGTGTCCAGCAGGAACACGCAGCGCAAAAAAATGTAAGCTGCTATATCGAGTCCCCCGCAGGCCATCGGGGACCGAGTGGTAAGGCCATGATCCGCAGGGGAACGGATCACTCATTCTTCCATTGGGGACAGGTGCACGAACGACAACTCCAAACATCACACATCCGTCGCCTACTTACCGTTTAGGTGGCACCAGCGAGATCCAGCTAAGGTAAGGAACTTTGTGTCGCGGCTGCTCCACTCCGCCGCGGTCTCATGAACTGAACTTCGTAGCCTTCCCGCGCGCGAAGCGAATGGGCGCTGTGTTGTGGGTCAGTTTCGGGGCGGGGGGCGAAGAGAGACCACAAGAATGATTCATTTGGATCGACGAGCTTTTTCAGCCCCAAAACTAAGAATCAATGGAATGTTTGTCTATCCATGAACATCTATTCTATCTGTATATCTAGGGGATCTCTCTATACATAAAAAAAGGTTTTTTGGCACGATATGATCGCCTAGCCGTAGCCGCATATTGAGCGCAACGGATATGTGGGATTTCAGTTGGATCAGATCTTTAGCTTTGACGCAAGCTTTTGGCCCTTGCGAAAAGGACTTAATAAGCCTTCGCGCAAGCAAAGTAGAAGCTTTTCCAGAAGCAAGACGAGGAAGAAGAGTTGTCGTATAAGCGGTAGCTTCCCCCGACCTACTAAACAAAAATACAATAGTCACGACCTACTTTGATTCAAAACAAAAGAAAGGCGAAGGGTTTGGAAACAAGCAAACAAATTTCTATCATAGTTGCAAGGGTTCCCTACTTAAGTTAAGTACCAAAGGCTGCTTTCGTTTGGTAAAGAAGGGGGTTGTTCACTACAAGCTATCAGCACTGTCTTAGATTGAACGTCGACTTATCTTATTGCCGTTCAATCTCTAAGGCGGGTTTACACTGAGAATGGAATAGTGTTCGTGTCCAAAGGTAAAGGTGAACAACGAATGCCCTAACTTCTAGAGTTCGCTGCTTTTCCCAGGCCAGAGAAGGGCTTATACTGCTCGCCTTTGTTTGATATGTTCATTCAGTACCAATACAAACTAAAACTACACCAAAGTGGAAAGGCCCCTATAGAAGCTAGAAGTAACCTCTAGTAGTCTAGTAGTCGGCCTAACCAAAGCGTCACGACAACATAAAATTACCCTTATGAATGGAATCTTAAGTAGGGGGGCCGCTTGCCTACCAATCAAAGAGGCTGAGAGTAAGCGTAAGCTCGAAGAGCTTCCCTTCATTCGCTTCGCGGGAGCCGCACAACACATAGCTGGAAGTCAGAGGGCCCATACTACCTGCCTAACTCCTCGCTCCGAGGGACCGTAGATAGGAAAAGACGTTCTAAACCACCCCATTCATCTAAAAGAGAGGGGAAGGGGCCTATGTATTTGCATGACTCATGCGGATTTTACCCTATTTACACCCGGAGCCAATCTCCTATCGGTCCTGCCACCACGCCGCAGAACGGGAGCTCGTGTGGAACCTTTTATTTATGGCGTAACAGCGGTGGAACATAAAAAAAGATTACGGTCGCGTAACATAAGGGTCGGAGGTACGGTAAACTCGGCCAAAATTTGACACCCGAAGGGAGGGCCCGGCGCGCGCAATCCTATCCTCGTCCGAGTTTACCCCTTGCACTTCGGACAGCCGTCCGTAGAATCATAAGGAGGACCTCCCTTTCAGGGGTAAAAAAAATGGTACGGTACATAGGAGGATGGTCTTTCTCAACGTGGTGTATAGCACGAAAAACCTTTCGATACAAGATAGGGCCATTCACATGAAAGAAGATAAAAAACCCTTTATTCTCTTTCTCGAGGGGGAAAGATAAAGAGGGTCTTATGGAGGGAGGGGGAAGGCTTGGGCTGGGCCTACCTATCCTGATAGGACCTCATAAAGGAACAGGGGCTGTTTAGAGGTTCCATATTGCCGAGCCGAAGGGCAGCACTTCTGTACGTGATCGTAGTATGTCATCTCGTCCCCGCTGCATTTAAAAGTGCCTATGCACTATTTCTGATTCACTGATAAGGAAGATAGAGTTGGGGTGGGGGTCTACGATGTGATACTCAAGTATGACCCGGGTAGATACATGCTAACTATGGGTAGAAAGCAAGAACCCTTATGTAAAAAATTTCGGGAGGTTACAGATCAAATCTGTTATACTACCATCGATCAAAAGAGCAGAACGACCATAAAAAAAAGTTAAGTTAGAAAGTCGTATGATAGGCGGTAACTATCTTGTACTGTTCGGGGGGTAATCGGCATACTCCGATCAGTGGGGGGGGGGGGGGGGAATCTTTGGCTCTATCGAACATACAGGGAATTGGAGGTAGCATTCCACCGATGTTAAGTCATGGATTGGTTCCTTCAGCCCTTTTTCTAAGTGTTGGTGTTCTATATGACCGACATAAGACTCGACTTGTTAGATATTACGGAGCGTTAGTGAGCACCATGCCGAATCTCTATACCATTTCCTTCTCTTCCACTTTGGCCAATATGAGTTCACCAGGTACTAGCAGCTTTATCGGGGAATTTCCCATATCAGTAGGAGCTTTCCAAAGAAATAGCTTAGTAGCCACATTAGCAGCGCTTGGGATGATTTTAGGCGCGGCGTATTCCCTTTGGCTCTATAATCGTGTGGTTTCTGGAAATTTAAAAGCCGATTTCCTCCATAAATTCTCCGATCCAAATGGCAGAGAAGTTTCCATATTTATACCTTTTCTTGTTGGAGGGGCGCCCGTCCGTTGAACTACCAAAGAAAAAAGGGTAAACCAATGTGATCATGACATTGTAGGTGCATGCGATGGGGAGGATGCGACTTCCCTCAGTTAGTTTGGGTGGTATAGCCCGTTGCAGAAGTCCCCCCTTTTTTTGATCCATTTCTGTCTTTAGTCTTTAGGGAGCCAAAGCTTGACTTTACTAAAAAAATAAGGCTCGCGCAGGGGCGCTCACATTTTTTGGGTGAGCCGTATCTTGCTGGGTGGGACCGAGAGAAAGAAAGGATGAGGGGCAACCATGCATGTTCTCGACCGTGTCTCCGAGAGACAATTGAACGAGCGACTCATGAATGTTGCCGGGTTAGACGAGCCAATAACTCGAACGCGTTCGGTCTGTTTTTTGAGCAAGAATCACAGCGTTACCTTACCTTCACCATGATACGGACTCCAAGTTATTATGGAAGAGCGCGAGGAGATTGATCATATCAATATGATGACGGGAATGGAAACCAGAAGCACGACCGACCGGGGTCCAAGATAATCAAACCATCAGTAACAGTAGTAACGTAAGCATGAGACTTTTTGGTAGTACCGGTGAACCGGATGGCCGCGGTGATGGAATCTGGGACGGAGGACTCGTAGTATCTCTCTAGATCTTGCAAAAGCTAAAGACCCCTTAATTCGAATGGGGGCTGACCACTGAGCCCACTCTGGCCTCGCAGGGCGGGCCCCTTTGGTTTCGAGCTGGAGCTGCCATAACTTATGGCTAGAGCAATGGGAGGGGGCCCCGGCATAGAGAATAATAAGGATGACGAGCGCTCCGCTCGCTTGGCGGGTGGCAGGAGCTGCGGGCAAGTGCTTGGTAGGCAAACAGCCCTGTGACCTGGGCGGGGGACTCGACGAAAGGGGGGAACACTGAGCAAGTACGATAAATTAGCCTCGCGGAGCTTATTAAAAGCAAGGACCACTACGGGAGGTCAAACCAAGGAAAGGCCCTATGGAAGTCGGGGCTCGTCCCCGGTCAATATTGAATCAAACAATAGAGGGTCGTAGCACTAACCTCTTCTTTTTTTTATTCAATACAGGGAAAAGATCGTAAAGTTCCCTACCGATACAACAGACACTCTCAACGGATCCTCTGCGCGCTGGGCATACCTCTTCCTTCTGTGCGTCTTTCTCGTGGCGGGAACAAAACAACAGGGAAAGACCCGGCCGACCTGCCCAAAGCTTGAGGGCGAGCTTTATTTAAGAGATAATGGGGAGTGAATCGAAAGGCTTTCGTTTTCGTTCTTGGGGGGCTCCTCTCGATCTTATTCATAGTTGGGAAGGGGGAAGGAGTCTAAATCAATGGACATTAATGAACCATCATTGATGGACATTGCACATGACACGATCAATTCGACTCAAGGTCCGGCGCTAATAGAAGTTGCTGACTCTCCTAGTTTGAAAGAAAAAGGCAGGGCTTTTTTTGTAGTAATAGTGGGCGGGTCTCATGATATCTATGCCGGCCGTCGGAATAAAATTAAGGGGCCGAAGG